CTCATTATGTTGTAAATTTCAGAGCAGGTAAAATGGGAAACAAGAGCCAGAAGAACAAGAGTCATGCTGCCCAACTTAAGCACTTGTAGGGAACTTTCCTTGTCATTACTTAGGTCAAATAATTGAGAGTTACTTGTAAGATATGATCGATATTATTGTGTGTAGGAGGAAATACTTGTATTTTCGGTTCCTACTTTAGTTAAAAAGTTTCCTTGTATTGTTTCTTGCGGAGACAGTTTAGTAAAGACGTGAAACATAAATATATATATTTACTTGATTAATGATACGTGAAATAAGTACCATTGAAATAATATTTATGAATTAGAGGGATATTATTAATCTCTCTTGTAGATGACGTTATGAATGATAGTAATTGGATGAGCTACAACTGGCCCTGCTGGGGTACAGATTGTTACAGTTGGTATGAGAGCAAACGTTCCTAAAATAACTCTCGCACTGTGAGACTTAGGACTTTGTGCGAGTTAAGAAACTAGAGATACAAATTTTAAGACATACTGTATGGAAAGGTAATTTGCGAGCTAAAAGATATATGAGTGAAAGTAATAGGGGTAAGGGATAGAGGTATGACTGGATGTAGGAATTAGGAAGATATGACGTTACTCTGAACCAATTCGAGAAAGATGAGTAAGACTTAACCACCGTCAAACATAGCAAGTACAAATAAACTTCTTTGGAACCTCAAATCCCAAAAAAGAAATCCCTAATTAATAAAGGAAGAGGAAAATGGAAACATCTTATTGAGGTCTTTGTAGAATTGTCAAAGGCCATGGTCATATTCTCCTAGTTCATGAACTTCAAATATTAATGGACCTGGATTGAGCCGCCCCCAAGATAATTGACATTGATGAGTTTGAAAATAATAAGAATCAACTAAGGGGAGTAAATTGCTTGTATAACAAATCGTTGAGCAAAAAAGAAGAATTTTGATGACACATATGCCCACTTCCCAAAATCCACCAACATTAAATTTTGGGAGCTAGCGAAAAACTCCACTAAGATAGTGTGATTAGTTTGGATAGAATGTAGGAATGAAATGATGCTAAGGTTAACAAGTAAGATAAAAAATGGCCATGGTATGTAGTGGAGCCAAAGGACTAGGTTCTAAAAGGGAAGGAATCATTTGGACTAAATTCCTGTTAGTGCCCAGAAGAAGTTTTAGTGGAAAAATAAAAAGTCATGTCTCGATAAACTAGTACCGAATTAAGAGTAAACTATAGTATCGGGTCATACTTTTAAGGCAACATGACAAAAAGTACCCTAAATATAACTCCAAACCGTGTCTCGGCCTTGTACAGAGAGTCTTTTAATAAAAAAAAAAAAATTGAACAACCAAAGAAATGAATACTTCTGACAAGGAAAGTTCCTAAAAGATTTTATTTCTCCTGAATTTAAACGCCTAAAGAAAGAGAACTCCCTGCAAACATGCTCCATAATCAAAACACTCAATGAGATAACCTATATTATAATACCATTGTTCTTGAGTGGAACATCAAGTGATACAAATATAATTGTTCCTACATACATGTTGAAAGTAAATATTATCAGAGTAGCATAGCAGAATTATGGTAGGCCATAACATATAACATATAATCTATATCTTATGGCAAAGCCTAAGGCTATATCCTTGAGCTTTTAGGAAAAAAAAAAAATCAAAGGTGTAATTCCTAGCCTCGAAAAGAATAGGATAAGTAAAATAAAAGCAATCTTGATAAGATTATTATATGATTCCTTCAGCAAAGACGCATCATTAGCAGTAATGTTTTATTTACACGAGTTAGAAAAGAAGAGTTACGAACTAAAGGCATTCCACTGGTGATAATGTTACAACGACACATTAGGTTGAACAGAAAACTTCGAAATGGGTCAAGATACTCTAAATCTTGGCCACTGTAAATGTGGAGGACCAAATTTTTTTAAGAGGAAAGTATGTAACATCCCGATAAAAAAATAAAAGGGGAAGGAAAATAGGACTAAGTTGAGAATTTTTTTATAAAAGAGGCAATATGGAAATAGAGCAGGGGTTGGGTTGTAAAGATTTTAAAAAGAGAAAAAAATTAGGAATTTAAAAGGAAAAAGGGAATCAATGGCTTAGATTTGTCCTGGAGATCGGATAGTTTTGAGACATCATATTTAAGCTTATTTTCCCCCACCTATTTGAGCAGAAGAAACCTTAGAGGGAGAGAGGGGTGAGGCGAGGTGAAACAGAGGCCGAGAGAGAGGGGAAGAAGAGAGATGATGGTGAAGGAAGAAGAAGAAGAAAAAACAGAGATGACAGTGAAAGAAGAAGAAGAAGAAGAAGAAAAAAGTAGAAGAAGAAGATTGGTGTGCACGTGAAATAGAGGCCAAAAGAGGGGAAGAAGAGAGATGACGGTGAGGGAAGAAGAAGAAGAAGAGACGATGGTGAAGGAAGAAGAAGAATAAGAAGAAGATCGGTGTGCATGTGAAACAGAAGCCGAGAGAGGGGAAGAAGAAAGATGTGGTGAAGGAAGAATAAGAAGAAAAAGAGACGGCGATGAAGGAAGAAGAAGAAGAAGAAAAAGAAAATCAGCGTACACCACAGAGGAGGACCAAATTTGCAGCGTGACCAAAACGTATCATGTGGTATACCTCGTGTAAGGGGTGGATGAAGAGAGAGGAGAAGTAGGAAATTGTGCGGCAAAATGCTGAAAGTAGAAAGTCACTTTAGTGTATGAACTCTAACTCGAAGAGAGCTTAAGGGGAAGAGAGATCGTCACCAGGATCCAATATCATCCCTGTACCCGCTGTGTAAGTCCAATCCACTCCTCACAACTTGGATTAGAAATTATATACTAAATTCTTAGCATGGTACATTAGGAAACATAATAGGCGGCTACCGATCAGAAAGCAATATAGGTTATCGGTGTTATGGTTAGGAAGTAGGAGCGCATGGTGAATGAGGGATAGTCTGAATAGAGTAGTCAGATTTAAGAGTGAAATTGGTGCTTAGGTGAGGAAGTAGAGAGTGGTGACACAATACAAGGATGAGGGAAATAAATGTCAAAATTAAGGTATATGAAGAATTGTTGGAATATAATGATAGGTGTTACGAGGTAGAGGCTGTAGGTAGGAGAGTGAGTCTGAATAAAATCGGCGGGGCGGTGACGTGCTTCGCTGATTCAAAATCTTTGAGGTACCGATATTAGTGTTGGTGGTTTGAAGTTTTGGTGCGGCGATATTGGTGACGAGAGGGAGAGTATTTGAGGCGTCGATGTTGGTGCTAATGAAAATATGCGTGTGTGGCCGAGTGAGGGCCATTGGGGTGTTTTTGTGTGTGTGGCCGAGTGAGGGACGTTGGGCTGTTAGTATGTCTGTCTATGGCCAAGTGAGGACTGTCGGGGTGTTAACGTGTGTGTGTCTGGCCGAGTGAGGGTCGTTGGGGTGTTAGTGTGTGTGTGTATGGCCAAGTGAGGGCCGTTGGGGTGTTAGTGTATGTGTGTGGCCGAGTGAGGGCCGTTGGGGTGTTAGTGTATGTGTGTGGCCGAGTGAGGGCCGTTGGG